CGTGTCTTGAGTCATTTTTCTTTAGTTCATTTTTATGTTTGGGGACCGATCAAAGTGATGTCATACAATGGCTATAAGTATTTTGTAATTTTTGTTGATGACTTTTCAATGATGACATGGATTTAACTTATGAACGATCACAGTGAATTGTTCTCTATTTTTCAAAAAGTGATGTCATACAATGGCTATAAGTATTTTGTAATTTTTGTTGATGACTTTTCAATGATGACATGGATTTAACTTATGAACGATCACAGTGAATTGTTCTCTATTTTTCAAAAAGTGATGTCATACAATGGCTATAAGTATTTTGTAATTTTTGTTGATGACTTTTCAAGGATGACATGGATTTAACTTATGAACGATCACAGTGAATTGTTCTCTATTTTTCAAAAAATTTATGTTGAAATACGTACCTAATTTGGTGTTCATATTAAAATTATTCGTTTTAATAATGCCAAATATTACACCTCAATACCATTTCAACAATACTTAGAGCACCATGGGATAATTCATCAAACTTTTTGTGCCTACACCCCACAACAGAACGGTGTAGCTAAACGGAAAAATTGACATCTCCTTGAAACTGCTCGGTCTTTGATGCTTAATATGAATGTCTCAAAGCATTTTTGGAGTGATGCTGTGCTCACATCCTATTTTATCCTCAATCGGATGCCCATGTCCATCATTGGAAGTTAATCCCCCTTCTCAGTGTTGTTTCCCACCTTGCCTCCATTTTCTCTCACCCCAAGAGTCTTTGGATGTGCTTGTTTTGTTCAAAACTTGGGACCTAGTTTAGACAAGTTAGACACACGAGCTATTAAGTGTATTTTCCTTGGCTACTCAATGACTCAGAAAGGGTATAAGTGCTATGACCCTAACTTTCATAAGTCATTTGTGTGCTCCGATGTCACATTCTTTGAATTGGTTCTTTTTTTCTCGGATACTATGGTTTATTCCCCTTCCCGTGGTTCCCATTCCAGTTGTACATTTACCTCCCATGCCAGTTACTACTGAGAGGCCACCAATCAAACAGGTGTATACTCACAGAAGAGCATCAGCTCCTCCTCCAATTCAGCCATCGTCGACAGATCCTGTCATTGCTTCTTCTCCCTTGGACTTTGATCCTCCTATTGTCTTGCGGAAAGGTAAACGCACTTGTACTTCTCATCCTATTTCACACTATGTTTCAACTGCTCACCTTTCTGCTTCTCATCACAACTTTATATCATTGCCATCATTTGTTTCAATTCCCAAAACTATCCAAAAAGCCTTACCTCCTCAGGGTGGCAGCAAGCCATGGAAGAGAAACTCTTTGCTCTACAACACAATCACACGTGGGAACTCACTGCTCTTCCTCCTGGTAAGCATGTTATTGGGTGTAAGTGGGTCTACATAGTGAAGTATCTTCCATATGGCAGTGTGGAGCGATTGAGGGCCAGGTTAGTGGCCAAGGGCTATTCTTAGTTGTATGGTGTGGACTATATGGAAACACTTTATCCTGTGGCTAAAATTGGTTCAATTCGGGTGTTGATTTCATTAGCTGCTATGTATGATTGGCCCCTTGTGCAACTTGACATAAAAATGCCTTCTACATGGTGATCTCATTGAGGAAGTGTATATGGAGCAATCGGTAGGGTTTGTTGCTCAGAGGGAGGATGGTAAGGTTTGTAGACTCAAAAAGGCAATTTATGGACTGAAATAATCTCCATGTGCATGGTTTGGCAGGTTCAGTGAAGTAGTGAAAGACTTTGGGATGAAACAGTGTCAGGTAGACCATGTTGTGTTCAACCATAACTCAAAAGATGGGAAAATCTTGCTAGTGGTGTATGTAGATGATATTGTCATAATTGGGAGTGACGGTAATGGGATTGACAGGTTGAATAAATTTCTATAGGACCACTTCAATACGAAAGATTTGGGTAAACTGACGTACTTTATGGGAATAGAAGTTGCAAGGTCATGGCATGGAATTAACTTGTCAAAGAAAATATATTTTTGACCTACTTGAAAAAACAAGACTGTTAGGTGCTAAACCACCAGAGACTCCTATGGAACTTAATGTCAAGTTTAGTGTTGATGCAGATGAAGAGTTTGATGATCCTGAAAGATACAAGAGGTTGGTGGGAAAGTTTAACTATCTGACTATTACCCGACCAGATATATCATTTGTTGTGAGTATGGTGAGTCAGTTTAAGCAACATCCTCGGATTCCTCATTGGGAAGCAGTTCTAAGGATTGTTAGGTACCTGAAGGGTGCTCCAGGTCGTGGTTTGCTATACCAAAGTGGAGGGACTCTTGAAATAGTAGGGTATACAGATGCTGATTGGGCTGGTTCTATACCAAATAGGATATCAACTACAGGGTATTGTACCTTTCTTGGTGGCAATTTTGTAACTTAGAAGAGCAAGAAACAAACAATGGTGACAAGGAGTAGTGCAGAAGCTGATACAGAGCTTTGGCTCATACCATATGTGAACTAGTATGGTTGAAGAACTTGTTACAAGAGATGGGATAACCCATGAGACTATGCTGTGATAACCAAGTTGCTGTTCACATCTCTTCTAACCCAGTATTCCATGAGAGAAAAAACATATTGAGGTCGATTGTCATTTTGTGAGAGAGAAAGTGGTAAGTGGAGTGATAACCACATCTCATGTGAGCTCAAGAAATCAGTGGGTAGATCTCTTTACAAAGAGATTGTCTCAGGGTAGGGTAGATTATATTTGTGACAAGCTGAGACTATATGACATATACTCTCCAGCTTGAGGGGGAGTGTTAGAGTACACAAAACAGGGGTATTTTTGTTATTTGGGTTTATCTATTTGAGAGTGAAAGACCTATTTTATTTAAGTTTAAGTTATGTGTCCCATCACTTATGAGGTACAATATGGTATTTCTTGTAACTATGTTATTGGAAATAAATACAAGTGGGTCGACTAGAGAGATGACTGATTTTTCCTCTACTGGCCGAACCCTTATTCTTCTTCTCCTTTTCTCTACTATAACCTAAGACTAAATAAGGTTTTACAATGTAAAATTTCAAAACAGGAAAAATAAAAGAAAAGAATTACGACCCTTATTGAGGATTCAAGGGTATGGCCAAATTCCAAAAGGTAAAAAAAAAAGATGCATGATGTATTGGCCTTTCTAAAAATAGATATATATTGTGAGTTTGGATTTCCTCTTCAGGAAATTGGTCCTCACAACCTTCTGTGCCACATATTAAGAATATCTCTATATTTTTTTTTAATAAAAGGAACATCTCTGTACTTACATGTTTTTATTCATATGGAGATGTTTTACAAAGGGCTGTGAGTATTGATACATTTTGTTCAACATCATATAGAGTGTTAGCCTTGAAAAGAGCTAAGACCGAATATACTCCCCACATAGGTCGCCTCACATGCACATCGTACCATTCATTGGGAACATCTCTCGTACTTATACCTAATTATTCATGGGAGATGTTCTCAATGCACAATGGATGTGCATGTGAGGTGCCCAAATGTGAGGAGCAAATCCCGTTCCAAAAAAGCTAGGGTAAGCATGTGATTCTTTTTCTTTTTTTGATATATCAAAGTAAATCCTAACAATTTTGGTGATATCCAATTAATTAATTAACTTATAAAAAATTAATTAAAGGATGATTTGTTATTGCAATTTTAAAATTTGCTATTTTAGGTGCTGTTTAGCAAGTCTTTTTAGAAACATCTTCCAATAACACTGATGATCAAAAGACATAATGAGCTTTAGGGGTATTATCTTTAAAGACAATGACTGTTTGGTAAGCAACTTGGTCTATTAGATTTTTAAAAGTGTGTTTAGAAGCTATATATCATGTAGAGGGCCAAAAAATTTCATTTGAAGCTTCCCAAAATTCGGCGTTTTTAGTCTTTTTAGGTATTTTCGTGCATGCATCTTTTCATCTTTCAAGCTTGTTGAGACCTAAAATGTGCATAAAGATTTACCAAACGTCGCTTTAATTTATGCTTAATTATTTTTCATGTGTAGTTGTGTACTTATATTATGCAAAATAAAGTCAAATACACAAACGACAGAGAATCATGCCGACTAGCCCTTGGATTTCATCAACAATCTAATTGAGGTTCATGTCGCATACGACTCATTTTAAGGTAATTTATTTCATAATATATAGTATCCATTTGGTTCACATCTAGAATTGGAATCAAAATGGTATATTCCCATAGTTCTCAAAAGGGGAATGCTATTCTAGTAGGAACAAGAATGAGATTTCAATTATGCTCAACCAAACAGTTGGACCCGAATAACCCATGATCTCTAAGAGATCAAATCAGCCCTCCACAAGATTGCCCCCTACAACGTCCCACAACACATTCTCCCGTGTATTTTGAGAACATCTTTCAATAATAATACCAAAAATGATGATATCATCATCGGGAAATGTTCCTAATACATGGCGGGGATGTGCCGTGGAACGTTATGGAGGACTGATTTGAATTCAATTTCCAAACCCTTATTCCTATGAACCAAACGGGGCTATAATATTAAAGTAATTTCTATTTATTTAACTCTAATATATTTGGGCTTTCTGGGCCGGAAATCACGACACAAAAGGCTAAGTGGAAAGCCGTACTAATGGACAGCTGACTTTTGCATAATCCAGGGCTTTAACGGGTAACTCCCCCAAACTTAAAGCAAAACCTTGCATGCCTGGCCGTAAAAGATGACCAATCAATCCTCTAGTACCAGTTAACTATTCTTCTATGGCCCCTACCTACGTACCCACGTGAGTGTGAGACGCAATTTTATGCCAAACCATCTCGATCCGTGTTAAAGAAGTTAAACCAATACGATTATGCCACGTAGCGAAAGAATTCAAGTTCCCGCATCTTTTTCAACCGTCGATTATTCGATCAGGAACAACGGCTGAGATTCTACTAGACATCGATCCGTGCCTCTCTCAATTTACCAATTAAATTCCGTCTGCCACCTCTATAAGTTACAAAGTGGTTCCTTGACTCTCATCAAAACTCGAACATAAATCTTCTTTCTTTCACAGTTTGCCTGGGTTTTCCTTAGCTTCTTTTTCGTTCGTGTTATAAAGAAATTCTGATGGCGCCAAAGGCCGAGAAGAAGCCCGCAGAGAAGAAGCCGGCAGCTGAGAAGCCGGCCGAAGAGAAGGAGAAGGTGGCCGAGAAAGCACCGGCTGAGAAAAAACCAAAGGCTGAAAAGCAGCCGAAGGCCGGGAAGAAGCTGCCGAAGGAGGGAGGTGCGTCTGCTGGTGACAAGAAGAAGAAGAGAACGAAGAAGAGCAGTGAAACGTACAAGATCTACATTTTCAAGGTTCTGAAGCAGGTCCATCCCGACATCGGGATCTCTAGCAAGGCCATGGGCATCATGAACAGCTTCATCAATGATATCTTTGAGAAGCTTGCCCAGGAGGCTTCCAGACTTGCACGGTATAACAAGAAGCCCACGATCACGTCTCGGGAGATTCAGACTTCGGTGCGGCTTGTTCTTCCCGGTGAATTGGCCAAGCACGCGGTATCTGAAGGCACTAAAGCCGTTACTAAATTTACCAGCTCTTGAACGGCGGTGGATTGGCGCGGTTATTTGAATGGAAAAATCAAAATTAGGTTTAGGGTTTGTGGTCTTGTTAAAGGTCGTCTTCCTTTTATAATCTTTTTAAATTTTATGTCTTTCTGATGTAATATACTAATCTCTGTTTGAGTAATAGATACGTTTTGTATCTTAGATATGTTTCCATGTAGAATTTGTTACATTATCTTCTAAAATTTCTCTATATGCTCTTTCTATTTTGCGCTTTATATGGTTTGTGCGGCTTGGATCATGGGTGTTGCTCGCTATCAAGCGTTTGAGGAATTCTGTTTGGTGGTTGTAGTTACGTTGTCTTGTTCCCTTTGTATTCTTTGATTTTTCCCCTTCGGCGCTAACGTTTTCGGCGTCATTGAATTTGAACTCTGCTTTTGTGATTGAAAGATGCCAAATGGAGCGCACTTATGATTACTTGATGCAAAATTCAGTTGTTGAAATTGACAGTTAAGTTGTCTTCAGTGTTGAAGTTATCTTTGAATTGGGGAAACTGATTTCAAAAAATAAAAAATCTGGCCAGCATGTTTTTTCTCCAGAGGGACTGAAATGTTTTGCACTTTTGGGAGCTTTAATAGGGGGCAGAGTTGTTGCCGTTGCGGGGAATTCGTTACTCGAAAATTTCTTTCAAGCCATTATGCAGTTAAGTTCGGGTTCTGCTTTCTGTTGATATTTCCCGCTACGGTGCGTTTCCATCTCCAGACTCCCGTAATTGACATTCCTGTTTTCCTCCGTATGCAATGATGTAGTTGATCCGGCCGTTTGATTTTACTGTTTCAGGAGCTTGATTTACTTTGCTTTGTTACTTCATCTCTGGTTCACTATTTTCTCCTTGATGTCGTGCTCATGGGTGCTTACTGCCACTGGTAGGAGACTTAACTACAATCTACAGGTACTGTCTTTACCAAAAAGTAGATTTAACATTTAACTAAGAAAATGAATTCCTGATCAAAAAGGGCTAAAAAAGGAAATATTATCATCTGGATAACGTAAAGCTACTTCATGTTTCAGTTTCTAAGAATCTCTCCTTGAATTTTTATATTTTACACAATGGTAGCTTGCCATGCTATCTATCTGGTGTTTCAACTTCTATGTCGTGTGCCGCATGCTATATATCTTTGCTTTTTCTGCTTCAGTTATCTGGGTTGGCAGGTGGACATTAAGATGCTTAAAGTGTCTGCTGATTCTTTATTTTCAAAGCATTTGACACCAATAAATTCATTCATGGCCATCTTGGAAGTTATATCACTCCCATTCATGAAGCATGCCAAAGTTTGCGTTTTACACAACACGAAGAGTCATTCAACGTTTCGATAGAGAAATCTGGGGAGTGTTTGCCAGTTACTGGGTTCACCTTCTTAACTATTTCAGTGAGGACCCAACGCCAAGGAGATAGTGGTCCCTAATATGTAAATATTAAAATTTCAAGTTTGCATTTAGTAGGCATTCTGATTTCATTTCTCTTCAGAGATAGAAAGGTGCATGCTGACTGCTTGATTCTAGCCTTTGGCTCTAATGGTTCATCATGCTTAGGGGTACAAGAACGAAGTTATGTGTTTTAAGAGTTCTATATTTACGTTATTATAGAGAACTTTTGCTTTTATTTTGGGTTCATATTTTTCAAGTCTAGCCAAAACTTCTGCACTATCGAACCAAATTCAAGCTGGGTTCGGTTTATTCTGGCCCAAGTTGTACACCTTGGTCAAATTTATCTAGTAATCCTTCAATCTCTTGGGGAATTGATGTTGTTTAAGGTGCTAGAATGGTAACCATACGTATAATGTTATTTTAAATAATTCGTGATAATACCGCCCCCCCCCCCCACCAAAAAAAAAAAAAAAGAAAAAAAAAAAACGTTGTTGTTTAGTAAGATAACTAGTTATTAGTTGACGTAGTTGATGCTTAGTCTTACTGGGTACCAACCAACTAGTTAGTGATGCAACTGGTGTGACCCTCAATTGGTTAGTTGGTTGACTTGTTGCACCTTAATAACATTGCCCTGAACTATGTTTTGCGATGAGGTGGTAATATATTCATCTTTAACCCAGTGATGTCTTTTATAATTGGTACATATGGGAACATGTTTGCTAGTTGAGTTTTTTTTATATAGGAAACTCAAAAAGGAGTCAAGAATTCTGTATGTAGATGGCAGCATGTTTTGACGCCCAAAGGATCCCACATGTTCTTCCCTTTACCCTTTACTTGTGTTTATACAAGATGGAATTGCCATGTTAATGTGGATAGTGATATTAAACATGTGGTCACTCTATAGAATCCCTACCCAATGGACAGTTTGGATAAACCATATGATCCCTCCACATGGCGGAATTAAGCTAGGTCATGTGGGGAAGGTCCTTACTTGACCCAATCAGGGAACCTTTTTCACACAAAACAAAAATTATATAATATAATATTACCATCATTCAACTATCATTCTGGTGGCGATATACCAACTTTTTAGGCCTATGGTATATTTTATCATTGGAAATTATCTTTGGAGCCTGTATATTAGAAGTTCCTTGAGATTTCTTTGTCAATTATGAATCTGAGTGGCGATTGGAGTGAAAAACATTGGGCCAAAGATGATCTGAGATTAGGCCTCTTTTGACAATGGTGCTTGCAGTTCTTGAAGGTCAAAACAGAAACATTTGCACCTTTGCTCCCCCCACCCACCCAAAAAAAATGAAGAACCATAAGGCTAGTGGGGGACAGTCAGCCAGTGCTGGAATGTTTCTCACGTGATGTTGGGTGGTCTCCTTGAATACCTTTGCTGTTTCTACTGCTATTGTTGTTTTTGTTTTCTTTAAGTAACTTTGTCCTCTAATCTGAGGTTTGTGTGGTCTGAGCAATGCTATCCTGATTTTGACAATTTTCAGTGTTATAATCTTGAAAAAATAGATGTGGTATTGAACAGAATGGAATAGCATAACAGGACTCATGTAGCCAATGCCATATAGATAGGACAGGGTTAGATGATGATAGTCTTGAAAAAAATCATGGTTATTTTGCTTTGATATTCCTTAGGAAGTAAATCCTGTAATATGCCAGGCTTGTAGGATTTAAGTTTTTTCTGTCATGAAGTCCAAGTTGGGGCTGTTATCATCTTAAGGTACTCCGTGTTTATTCTATTGCAATGTAGGTTAACTGCTGGAATGATTGCTTCTCTATACCCACTTTCTCATGGAGCTTTGGTTATTGAAGATAGGGTATTCAAAGGCTTTGCTTGGGGTAGGATGCTTTTTAAGCATGATACAGTAATATTTTAGACTAGAGACTTGTAATTTCTAGCATTCTTTAGCTTGAAGTTGTGGGAAATAACGATAAACTACTTTAGTTCCTGTAAGGCTGTAACATGATTAAACTTGCCAAGCCAAAACATAGTTTCTGGGCAACCCATTGAACACACAAATAAAACAAAATCACATCCTTATAGTGAATCTATGCAAATAAAAGATGGCTAATGATTCTGACATCTGTTTTAGACATACAACATTTTGGAAAATATCTTCCAATTTATGAGATTTTTAATTGTAAGAGATTCCCCTTGTGTTGCAATTTGAATGAAGAATGCTCCTGAATTGAGAGAGCAGGTAACCAACCAGTGCTGTGAAGAATGTAAATACCAAAAAAGAGCCTTTAGTATCTTACCTCCACACCAACTCTGGATTCCTACCCAGAGTAGGTAGCTCAACTTCATTGAACTATATAGCAAATTCTCCATGAAATCAACTTCCAATTCGTTCATATTTTACCATAAAATCTTGTTCCCATTTGAACTCATCCCTGTTTGTTCGAGGTTTTAAACTAAGTATCATGAAAATATAAGGGGATAACATGAGAATTATACAAAAAGTTTATAGATGCATTAATAAATGGGAAACGAAGCATGGATAAACACATTGAAGAAGTATGATATAATGAAAAGTAAGCATTTGATAGAGAAAGGAAGAATTATAGTAAGTAAACCACACACCTACACCTTAGACATACATTGTAGTTTGTATACATGATTACAAAGTTACATTTGGTCTTGGGATAGTAAATCTACACCAAATGACATTCAAAAGCTTGCAAGAGTTATTTTTGATAAAATAAAAACTACAACCAAGTTGTAGACCAGCCCCCAGTGTTATTATATGTACCTTTTTGAGGATTGAAAAAGAAGTTTCACATGAAAATATAAAATGTTCCCTCAACAATTGGGATTTTACTAATCTACACCATTTATCAGAAAAAGGGAATTTTACCATTAGTAACTAAAAAAGTTCATTAGAAGATTGGATGAAAATTCAACATAAAAAAAGATTCAATGAAAATTTGAAGTGTAGAACAAATTTCAACTTCTCTGGAGTTTTCCACCAATCCACCCTATTGAAAGAATGAGCTGGATGAAAAGCAACCATGGTTCTTGAAGAGTCTGGACCTCTGCCCCTGGGGACATTTCTTTTTGTTTATTTCAGTGAATCTATAATCTGAAGAAAGTAAAGAATATAATAAAGAATTAGGCATGGGGATGCTTCAAATTAAGTTTCTGTGCTGGATATTTCTGTTTTCTGTTCAATTCTTTATCGTCCCATTCCATTTATGTGAGTGATATATAAAAGTACCTTTCAAATGTAAAGCTTCCCAGTATAGTTCAACCTTAAATTTAGGATGTTATATGAAGTTGTTGGATCTGAAAATCATTTCCAAATTGGTTGTATTTCAATTGTTTTGGCTGAACGTCGTAAACAGAGCTGTTTGGGAGGGGAATAACTTTAGACCGTCTTTGAGAACCAAGGAGATGATCTTTTAACAGGCTTTGATGGATCCCCTATGCGTTGATCATTCCATTGTAAAGCTTACAGAGATTGTGACATTTCAATCTGTAGTAAGTATTCTAATGAAAATTTTTGTCCAACTGTCCGTATGTAGTAGGACATATTATGACATGTATGGAGATGCTAACTTTCAGCAACTGTGGCTAGCAGTAAGCTGTTCTTCTACCGGTTATAAATTTAGAAAATTACTAGAAAGGAGTTTCTTAAACCAACCATTCTTGCATAAGTTGCATCTCTCTCTTATAAGATTTGTCTATTTAATATCATATTCCTTTTTAAGGTTATTGTAGGTCTCAAATGGCCTTTTCACAGGCCTTCCCTGTGTTAGTCAGATCTATTTATTGCTACCCCAACCCTGGCTTCTTCACCTTGTTTGCAGATTAACCCTCAATAGATTATCAAGTTCTTTGCTGAATCTTTGAAAAATTTTCCGTGATGCAACTAATCTATCAAACTTTAAAGGAAGCATGGGACCTCTTGTTGAGCTTGTATATATGATGCGATATTCTTCTTGTTCTTCATGCTTTTACAGAGTAAGTCCTGCCTGATCTGGTCTACTCTGGATGCAACTGAACTTTTAAGACTGAAGAAAGATGTGTAGCAATTCTTGACTAGATGGTGTGCAGAGTGCTTTGAATTAGTGTGGCTTTTCCAATTTTTAGATGCATGTTTATTCCTAGATGTACATCTCTTTTCTGATCTCTCTACCAGTCATTCTGAATCATAAGTTTCCCAAGTGAAATTATCATCCATCTTGCAGTGGGGAGCCCCTTTATGTTCTGTACTATTAGGCACCTCCTAGCTTGCATGTTTAGGATGGTGAATGGTTCTATACGGGTCATTCTTTTGGTGCTATGGTAAAATCTTGGGCTAACACGCATGGGGTTTTGAATTCGAGTCTGAATGCAGCCAATTTGTGCAAGAAAATGCCAAAGGTGATGTTCGTATCAGTCCACCCCTCTGAAGGATCCTGCATAGCTGGCATCACATTGGATTGTGGCCGCTTTTTGCCCTTTTTATGGTGGGCATTCTCTACTCCCTACTATTTATACAACCATACATAATAAAGGTTTTGAAGCTGCACAAATGTCACATAAAACCAACGACATTGGAAGGGAAATTGTCTAAAATTCACCATGAATTTTTAGCATCTCTTAAACTCACCACAACTTTTCAAAATGTTTAAAACTCACCATGTTAGTAAGTTTTTATTTTCCAAAACTTACCTTCCCTTAGTGCGCAGATAATGCTTCTTAACAGAGGTGTCCACATCAGCATAAATAACAATTTTCATGATCAAATTACCCTTGTATGGTGAGTTAGAGGAAAATGGTCTTTTTTCAGTTTTCAATTTTCATGTTTTTTTTTTTGCATTTTTAGTGTTTTGTTATAATTTCTAATATTTTTATAGTTTCTGTTTTTTTACATTTTTCTATTTTCTACAATCTATAATTTTCCTATATTTTTTGTTATTTATTTGCAATTTCTGTGTTTTTCTATAATTTTTGGTGATTTTTCTATAATTTTTATTTTTCAATTTTTATAGTTTCTATAATTTGAAAATAATTTTTAATTTTGTTTGCAATTTCTATCCCTTGTCTAAAATTCATCCAAAATTCTTCAACTGCCTAGAGGACGAGCATGCTACGTTCTTCTAATATATGAGCACAAGGGAATAACGCTCCCTTGAAGGACTCTTGAAGAGTCCTGCAGATGTTCTGTTGATGATGCATGATCACACGATTCTTTCATTCTCCTTTCAAGGCTTCTCTATACCAACGGTACACTAAGTACTGGGTAACCAGACGTTCTTTTATGATCTGACTCCCTTCAACAAGTGTTTGTGGATCTATAGTGTCCATTTTTTTGTCCCTCTCTAGGAAATTACCCAAATGCTGGTCTCTATGTCTCGGGGTCTATGGGTATGGTCCAAACCTTTAAAGTGGCCATTCTCAGTCTCAGAATCAAACCCGAATCTATTTTTGCCCTCTCCAGAGTGCAATATCACGTTCGCAATTCTTTCCAACTAATGATGGAACCTTAGAATTTTAAATTCCTTCCTCTAGTCATCTCGGAAGGGGCCATTACTTGATGCAGTGACAATAAAACCTTGGGCTGTCAAGCGTGGGAAAGCAGGTTCAAGTCTGTTTCGCAGAATGCTGTCCTAACCAGGATTTCCATTGGGTGTCGGCCTTTCCTTGAAATCGTTTGCCCTTGTTTGTTTCCAGTGCAATTTCATTTGTATTGGTGCTATGGAAGTCCAAATGAGTTAACAGTCCAATTCTGGTTTAGTTTTGTTAGATGTTTTACTTTATTATGTCTATTTGCAGTGTAAATAAATAAACTAAAAATTAAAGCAGAAAAATGTAAAAACAAACCAAAATTTGCAAAATTCTCATATGTACTTGATGCAGTACGAGATTCATATAAACTGAATAAACATTTATAAAGTTGGTTTTCGAAGATCTATCTTAGTACGCATAATGATATAGTATAGAAGAAAGCTAATAATTTATATGTAAGTTGAGACCACTACAAGACATGTAAGAAGCCAAGGTGACGATACCAACCCAACTTAGTAAATATTTATTGAAATAGTATTATCATCGAATTTCTATCTTAGTTTATTTTTACCAGGTTAGTGTCATCATAGGATTTCTATTTTAGTTTGCCTTTACTAAGTTAACGTTACAACGAGATTTTTGAATTTGTATTCAATTAGAACTTTCTTTTTTGAAGAGATTTAATTTGCTTATAATGAGTGTTTTATTAGATTAGAAAACTTCTTTGTAGGAGGCATAAGGGTGTAAGTCTATAGAGTAGCTAGGGAAAAATTAGGGGAGTTTTTGGTTGATTTTCTCGTAAGTATTCAATGGAGAGTTGTTCTTTTTGTTTATTTCGGCTTTTGTTCTTTTCTTTGAAGCTTTTTTGAATGTGGTTTTGTTTCTGTACTACGCCCTTTGGTATCAAAACTCATGTTTGATTCTTATTTGGATTATGGAGTGCCTCAAATCATGGAAGAGGAACTCTAACAACAAAACACAAGAAGAGGTGTTAGAGGTGAGAAGACAAGTTGATGCACTTGCTCAAGCGCTGAAATCGCTGCAAAGGGACGACTCCGATGTAAGTGTCTCCGCTCGTTCCTTTTCATCATCAAGGCAAACATCTAGGTCAGCTGTAGTTGTAAGTTATGATCAGAAACAGTGGGAAACGGGTTTCAATATTGAGATCCGAAAGTTTCATGTATGTTTCTCTACTTGGCAAGCAACCAAACTGGTTGTAGTTGCAAGTGGTGAACAAAAAGAAGGGGAAACAGACATCAAGTTTAAATTCTCAGAGTTTCATGGAGGTATAACTCCAAACAAATTCATGGAATGGAGTTCCATGGAAGCGTTATTAGTTTTAAAGTCTAAAGATGAATCAAATTTTATTTCTTTATTGATTGTTTTAATATTGTTGAGGATTGTAACGAAAATCTTGTGTGGCCATTCTCCTCAACAATATCTCTTGAAGAGAAATTTGTTAATTGGAATAAATCTCCAATCTATGATGAACCAATTACTAAGGAGGAATACGCCAAAATTCATTATGAATTTCAAAATGATGGAGATTATACTTATCATCTTGGGGATTATGATCACATTGTATAGATGCATGTCTACGAAGATCCTTATTGGCAAGCATTGTTGCAATGCTCAAAAGGGTCAATAAAAGAAGATTTGGGTTCTATGAAGTGTAAGAAATATACTTCAAAATTTAAGATATGAAATGAAGAAATTTCAATTTGTATTGGAGGCTTACATCACCAATTATTTATCAAAGGGTTAGAAACAAAGAAGTACAACGGAAGTGCAACAATATATGTTGGCGACCTCTTAAATGGTAACATGAATCCAAGGTTAAATTCTCTCCAACCCAAGGATGATGGTGCGATACGAAATTTGAATCAATTAAGTAAACATTTACAAAGTTGATTTTCGAAGACCCATCTTAGTACGTATAAGGGGAGGATGATACGATACAAAAGTAAGCTAATAAGTTTTAGCAAGTTGGGACTACTACAAGACATGTAAGAAGCAGAGGTGATGGCACCGATCCAACATAGTAAATATTAACGAGATAACATCATTGCAAAATTTCTATCTTAGTTTGTTTTTACCAAGTTAGTGCCATTACAAGATTTTTATCTTAGTTCGTTTCTGCCAAGTTAGCATTACAACGTGGTTTTTGAACTTGTATTCAATTAAGATTTTTTTTTTGAAGAGATTTAATATGATTATAATAAGAAATGTTTTATTAGATTATGAACTTCTTTCAAGTGCAGAGCCAAGAAATTGTTATAAAGGGGGCCAAAACATAAATGAAGTATGGATGGACCCATAGGGGGGGGGGGCAACCATTGAGATGGAGAGTGGGGAGAAGAGAAAATTTATATGGAAAGCTATTTTTCAGTGGGGAGTTTCTAAACCATAGGGGGTGGGGGGCATGGCTCCCCTGGGTCTCTCCAGGTTCTGCCCTGCTTCTTTATAGGAGGCATAAGGATGTAAGTCTATATAAAGAGTAGCTAAGGTAAAGTTAGGGGAATTTTTGATTGATTTTTTCTTAAATATTCAGTGAAAGTTATTTCTTGTTTGTTTTGCCTTTTGTTCTGGTTTTGTTTTTGTACTGCGCCAATACTCCCATCCATTTATACCATTACAAATGAAGGTGCATTGTGAATAAACGGATCTTGGAAAAAGGCCTTTGTGAAACCCTGCAGGCAGGGGCTTTATTTTCCTTATTTCTTCCATGCCCTCTTGAGACCTCGAAAAATGGACAAATTCCTTTTCTTAGGAACACATACAARATTCGCCACTACACAAAGGAAGGATAGGATAATGGTAACCCCACCATTAACTACTTCATTTATGAATTTCATAGTAATAGAAATACATKTCCTACCGAGACAGAATTTGTAACTTGCTATCCTCTTGHCTAGCAGGCAAAGATTTACCTCCGTGGAAAGGCTGATTCATTCAGATCGACATGAGAGTCCAACTACATTGCATTGCTAGAATCCATGTATATTTGAAACAGGTTGACCTCCTTGCTTCTCTCATGGTACAATCCTCTTCCCGCTGAGCCCCCCTTTCTCCTCGGTCCAATTAGGGAACCTGGTTTTCAAAGTCTAAACATGTAATCATACTTGATAAGATTCATGATCTTCTTTATTTTATTTTATGTTTTTAATTTGACCATCCCTACTTTTTTTTTTCATCAACCTAAACCAAAAACAAAATAAATGTTTGTGATTTGATACAGCCCGGCGTGCAGCGATGCTCAAAACGCAAATGCAGGGTCGCTTTTGTCATTTAACAGAATGGAATAAATAATGCGTGTTTGAATTTGACGAGAGGAGACCGGAAAGGAGTTGGTGGTGGAACTAAACTAATGGTTCCTTCTTCTACCTCTTCTACTGTTTCTTCGTCTTCGATCACCAACCGCCCAACTCCAACTGTAATATCAAATCACCAAATTCATTCATGTAGTTGAGATTAGGTTCCTCTGCTCCTCTCCATGTACTCCCAACCCTCCCGTTACCTCTCCCCTCATATACGTCATATGTCAATTGTCAACCCAATAAATAGAAGGGGAAAACCAAAACCCTAAGCAGAGGGACCAAGTGCAAGCGCAAAAGCCATCGGAGAGACATGACTCTTCCCTTCCTCCTGCAGTCGATCCTCCGGCAGATCGCCACGCGGCGTCCACTGCTACTCTACGCCGTCACTTGGACCGTGCTCTTGACAGTTACAGTTGCGGTGGCTTCTTTCTCCCCGGAGATCGCTTTTGTGTCCGCGATATCTCCTTCTTCTTCTTTCTCCCGGGCGTGCGATTCGCAGCAGGGCACCGTTCGGGTTCCTCTAGATTTTCCGGGGGAGGTGTTATGCTTGCCGGCTGGTTTCTTCAAAAGGTCTAAGATGGATTTCTTCGTTCCTCCGATCTTCGCCGCCGTTGTTGTCGCTTGCTCCGCTTGTGTGGTTCGAGCCCTGAGTTTATGGGAACTAGATGAGACCACCGGTTGAGACTCATGAGTCATGAGAAGCGTGGTTCTTGGTTCGGTCAAACCGTAGATGTGTCACAGACTCACAGTCGTTTTCTTCTAGGAAATTTAAGTAGGGTACAAAAATACGATGTACGGTTGGTTAATAGTTGTGTCTCTATCACCGTTGGATTAGTCTGATATCTGACTAAATATAAAGAGAGATGCTGTTCCTACCGTTGAAAAGCCTTTAGAGTCTAATATACAAAATATCTGTGTATAAGAGGGAGGGAGAAATACCTTATCTGTCTGGGGATAAAGAAACTGTATTGGGGGGGTGTAGGGCCGTGATAACTTGCCACATGGACATGATTGAAAATGTGGCCCACCATTGCATGGTCCCAACGGACCCAACCACGACATTGTTCAAGCCAAAACTCAGCCAAAAACTTTTAGCCATATGATTCGGACTACATTTTGAAGAGGAGCTTTTCTCTACGCGTCCAATTAAATCGAATAAAATCAGATGATTATATGGTTCTCTTTGTATTCATTCTTGATCCAAATTGATTTACTATGTGCCTCCTGAATCCTGATACTGCAAACATGAGACGAGTAATTTTGGCCTATGGGCCTCAGATGTCAATACCATTCAACAGTTAAACTTTCACCTTTCAAGGATGGTGTTCTGTTCAGCCAAAAGGGTCAATTTTAACCAATTTTAACCAGTTTATTAGGGTCAGGTGTTCTCTACCCAAAAGTGGGTGGGGGGAATTTCAAGTAGAGCAGGTCCCTTGAAAATAATATTGTACAAACAAAAATGATGCTTATAATCTAACAAGATCTCAAGGAACTATTTAGTTTCACAGTTTATGACTAATATTCCCTAATAACTGATGACAGATTATCATTAGTTATATTAGAATTTACTTTTTTTATATAGTATATGCCTCAGTGTTCACATGTATATATAGCGCATATATATGGCATAATGTTATTAACTCAATCTAAATCTAAAACACACTTTAGGGTCCATTTGATTTGTAGTCGGAATTGAAGGCACTTAATCCTCCCTGCTTGTTTGGATCAGATGGGAATGGATTCAATGGAATTAGATTCTATCAGATGTATACAACTCCTATAGAGGGTTGATAAAGAAAAATAGGATTTGGAGAGTTTTAAATCATTTGTCTTTTAACTTTTTCTGGCTGGTATGAGACTCTCATTCCCAAGGGTGGAGACTAGAATGGCCATTCCCTCTGAATGGGGAATGTTATTCCACCAAGAATGGGAATCAGAATCCCATTCTGCCCAACCAAATGGCTGGACCATTCCGATTCTGATTCCAGACCTCTATTCCTATTTTATTGAACAATATAGATCGTCTTATATCACTATGGGAGTGCTTGAAAATAAGCGCTTATTCGAAGTACTTATTTTGAACTGAGACTATACCAATACACACTTATTTGCATTTGGGAAACAAGCCCGAATAAGTGCTTATTTGAGACACCTAAATTTTGGGCCTATTTTTAAGTGCTTATTTGAGAAGCCCAAATTTTGGGCTTATCTTTAAGTGCTTATTTCCTTTCTGGCATATCTTGGCCTGCCATGTCATTTTAAAAATACCTATACTACCCCTGTTAGAGACAAGTGTTTTTTCACCAAACATTCATGAGAGCTTATTAGAATAAGCACTCCCAAACTCCACCTTAGCATTTGTTTGATTTATTGAGCAAAGACACTAATCCAATAGTATGGTTTATCTGGTTGGGATTATTTCTTTTATCAACATCAAGGTTTAAAATATGGACGTGATATGCTTGATATAAGGAATGGGGTTGGCGTCCATTCATTCCTTGGGTACTAGTCCATATCATTAGCATCACGTTGTATTTCAAACCAAGGTTCAAAGTACCTCAAGGTCATCAATACGTTAATACATAGAACTTTGTTTACCTTAAGGCTGTTTTGGTTTGAAGGAAAAAGTAGGGAAAAGAAGGGGAAGGTAGAGAAACTTTTACTATCCTTGTTTAGGTCTCTCTATCTTTTCCTTCATTTCCCTACCTTTTCCTTCAAACCAAACATAGCCTAATGTTTTATAACTTAAATCCTGATGTGTCATTTTAACTGTTAAATATCATATAAAAAATTCTACATATTTGTTTTTTAGGTAAAAAAATACATATTTTGTTTTTGGATCTAATATATTTTTAGGACAATTATATATTTCTATACTTATTAATTAATAATTTAATTAAATAAATAACAACAAATTAGTGACTCTACATATAGTAGTTTGTAAAAATAGATATAGCATGTGTTGTATTCTTGGTTGATCCATTACTAGAAAGTTAATTGTATGTCAATTGTTATGTATTTTTCATTTCTGTAGGCATGCAAACTCCACATCTTTGTTTTTTGATATCTTAAGAGAAGATAGCTACATTGATAGAACAGAAAAAATGATAAGGGAAGTTTCCTCCAGTGCCCTCCCACACGCTCTCTTTTCATTGGTTAATGGTGACTTAGGAGAAAAATTTTAATTAGAATTTTGTTATGAATGGTTTATAGGATTTGGGGTGGCTCTTCACAATTTCCCGTTGCGTTTGGTCATGTCTAAAGACATAATTCAAAGTAGAGCTTATTAGCCTCCTAATATAATTGACATCTAACGTTTTCCATAGCAATTCTCAACTCTAAACACTCAGCATATATCTTTTTATCAAAGGAGATGCTAATGGATTTTGGAAGGAAACAGCAGGCTTTGGAGCCGTTGAGAATGTTTGTGTGTGTGTGAGAGAGAGAGGTTGGGTGGAATGTGCTCTTAGTAGTATCCACACGGACCAAACCAATACATGAATCCAGATACGGTTGTCATTATTTTATTGGCGGGCACTGCAGTGCAGAGTCGACACCATCCCAAATTTTGATTTAGTTCTAACAAAACAGTTCTTACACTGTACTTAGGAGTGGCAATTGGTCAAGCTTCAACCCAACCCATCTAACCCACCAACCCATTAATGACCCATTTGTGTAAAACTAAATGGATTGGGTTGAATCCAAACTCGCCTTAACCTAACCCAACCGACCCAACCCAAGAATCTTTTACTTATTAAACATAAGCATAGAAAATACAGAAATTAAAAAACAGAACATGCAAAAAATCAGGAGAATATAAATATGGAAGATAATTAAAATTGCAAAAATATAGCCAGAGTTACAAAAAACACAAAAAAGTGAAGAAAATCAATATAAATTACCAAAAAAAACAAAGAAAAGCCAGAAAACATAAATTGTAGAAACATGAAAAATGAAGAAATATAGAAACCCACTAAAATCACATAAATTGCAAAAAGAAAAAAAAAACAAAAATTATAGATAAAATACAGAAATGTGGAAAATAACAAAATTTACTGCAAAACATTTCAACGCAACAAATAACAAAGGTTGCAAAAGAAAATATAACAAAAATTACAGAAAAACAAAGAAAAAAAGGAAATTACAAAAAATATGTATATAAATTTCAGAAAATATAAAAATTACAAAAAAACAAAATTATAAGAAAGTATAAACATTATTAAAATATAACAGAAATTATATAAAGGTAGAACTTTTGTTACATTTAGAAAGGGACTATGAGATATGCATAGAGAAACGATGGGCTCTGGTTATCTGGATTTTATTAGCACCATTGGAAATGACTTTTTACTAGCGCCGACTAATGCCGTGACATCACCTTTGATTTTGCCGGTGAACTTGAAGAAATAACTCCAGATTCATAGAAGGATGCCCTACAGGTAGTTTTGTGAGTTCATGACTACCTTGTAAAATTAATTGGTTAAAATGTAGCAGCTTCCGTATGTCAGAAGCACATCACACTCTGTTTGGGGACCCCCTTTTGCTTTTGATAAAGTGCAGCGAAGTATGCACTGCCTTGTCCATATTGTTGCAACTGAACAAAGCTATAAAATGTGAAACAGAGCATAACAGAAATAAATGAATGAATTCAATGTCATCATTGTAGCAGCTTTGGTTCACGTATGGAGGGATCGCCACTACTAAGTTTCGGTTAGGGTTTGGATTTAGGGGGAGAGAGAGAGAGAGAGGAAGGTAGGGTTGGAAAATCACTCGCTGAGATCTTCAACCATGGAATAGGGTTCCAAGAGGAGAGAGAGAGAGAGGGGAGAGGTGAACAAAAAAAGAAGCGAAAAAGGAAAGAACATAAAAAAATGAAAATTCCTAATCTCTTAATGGATACCCGTTGGATACCTATGACCCAATCCACTCAATCTATTAATTCTCATTTTATTTAGTGAACCAACCCGCTGCTGACCCAACATAAAAAGATACAACCTAACCCGTTAATAAATGGGTGGGTTCAACAGGTTGGGTTGGAAATTGCCACCTGTAGCTGTGCTCACATCCTTTTGCAGCGTGCATTGGGAGCATTCCCTATTATTCATGGGAGATATTTCGATGGCTGGGACTTGGGAGGACGGTTTTGTGAGGATTCGCTTTCGGCAAATGGGGACCGGGGGGGTTGGAGTTTCGCTGAAGCAAGATCAACAGTTCAAAGACAAACAATGGTCAAAACTTGACTCAATTCGTGCTGCAGAGAATGACATGTACCCTTCTTAGCAACCATTGAGAAAATAACAATCATCATGAAAACAATGCGTCATGTTGAAAAAAGAAAAAAAAAAAATCGCATGCATACGGAAAAGCAATTTATCATTCAAGCAGTTGGTACAAAATTTAACTGAAATAGTTTGAGTAAGAGGAGATAATTTTACAGTTCAATTTAGTTCCACCTTTGCTTCTCCATTTCCTCGTCAAGAATCATAACTGCTTCTGCAGCCACAGCCAACAAACAAACATCATGTTGGTATTCAAGTTCAAGCCAAGAATATCAGACAGACACTAACACCTTGAGACCTGATTTATCAAAGTATTGACATGTAGGTATTCAAGTTCAAGTAGGGAAGAACCAATAGAAGAAACATGTCCGATGGAATCTAACAGCACTGGTTCAAAAAGAAAAGGTTCCAACAGAAGTCCTCTCTTGCACGGTTTTGATAAATAATAGCCTGTGTATTTATTTATGTGCTTAAGCAGTTAAGCTCACAAGCCTCACATTAGTTATGTCGAACTAGTTTGCTGTAATTACTCAAGAGGTACCTGTTAAGGAGGAAGTAGAACCTTAGACTGCCATGAGAAAGCCTCTGACTTGGGCAGTTCACTCTTCACCTTCTGTATGTAATGCTCCAAGGTATGCCTGGTCTCGTCTATGTTATCACTACAGGTAGTTTCTTCAGCAAGAATGACTGCTGCCAATTGAGACATTTGAAAATTATCTGCCGCTCGTTGCAGTTTCCTAGCTGTTTCTTCCTTGCCAATCATCACAAGGGCACCAAGTAGGGATTTAAGCTCATGCTGTGCAACTGAGGTTAGAGACATGCCCTTCAAGTGTTCCACTAGAGCCCTCTCTTCACCAGGGCTGAAATGTTTAATCAATAATGCAATGTGATCTAAGAGTAGCAACAACCAAAATGCTCCAAATGATAGAAGCAGAAGGAAAACCTAAAAGTTATAATTGAACAGTCGTAACTACCTGCCAGCTCGGATCTTGCCTCCTTTATTCTTCTGTCGTCTCATTTCTCGTGTCTTGCTGCCTAAGCTTGAGCAAATAGAAGCTCCAGAGCCTTTTCTTGTCCTGATAGAGGGCACTGAAATGTCAGTAGATGCTTGGCAAAAAATTGGAAAACACTGCAATTAATAGCTTCAAGATGCAACAACAGTCAAGAGAACCCGAAGCAAGGAAATACACGAGTAAATAAAGAATTAACAAAGAATTATCCAGGAGCTGGAGAAACATGCCATTTCTTTTTCTCTTTATTGTTTTATAGTGTTTCTCAACTACTATAAGAAAACCAACAACTATTCTCTAGATTTTCCTCTAGATTCATAGCCTATTTTGTGCTCATTGATTTTGCCTTCTATCAACCAGCTCTACATTACCCTATATTTGTTTTCATTTGCATGACCTTCTATCACGGAACAGCCATGGTTGTGGTACTTCCTAATCATGAATGAACTGATTAAACATGTGCAAGAGGTGCCATGCTATGATTTTGATATTCCAATAAAATCCCTAGTTCTCAAAGGACAAGACGAAAGAAACATGATATAGATGAAAAAAAAACTCCAGTGCATGATTCAGATGTTTACAATTGCAGCTTCATATATCTGCAACTTCAGGACGTGACTTGCTCACATCCATAAGTAGGCCAGAAAGTCAACTAAATTGGGCCCTAAACCAAGTTGGTCAAAACTTGACTCAATTCAGCACATTGATAGTCCTATTCAAGATAGTTTTTTAAATGATCAAGATTTTTCTTTTTTTTTTATAGATTACATGATTAAGAATATATTCCATGTCGTTCAGCTATATCATGCAAACATGGTAGATAGGCATAAAACCCTCCTTTTTGTAGGGATCTCATGAATTTCACGTAGCAAATTACCTACCACAAGAAAGTCCTTAGCTTAAGACAGATAGGAGGTACCAGTACCACATTCATCTACAAAATAGACAACAAGATTCTAGAAATATTGATAGCCTTGAGAATGATTTGATTAAACAACATAAACCAAGTTCCAAGGGCCACAACTTATGAACAAGCTTCAAACTCAGAAGGCAAACAACTTAATTTATCAAGGTGGGATGACATCATCATCGACATCACTATTACATTTGGGGTTATAACAAAGCAATAATGGATTTCATAAATATTTGCAGAAGCAGAATTTACAGCAATAGCCCACTGTAAAAGACTAAAAATCTCTCCTAAAGAGGAAAATTTGGTAAAAGAATATATAGGAACCAACAAAAACAGAAAAAAAAAGCAAATTTATGTATAGCAAAAGTCATCCAACTAAGAAGAAAGAGAAACTTACCCAGTAGTGTAAGCACTCATTCCACTGAAAGTACTGCTAGTTTCTGAAGCAGTCTCATCATCAATGTCATTTATTGATCTCTCCTCTGATTGAAGCTTTGCTGTGAGAAGTAATCTTCTTTGTCTAACTGCTAAATACCGTGTCAAGTACTTCCCTATCTTCTCCAATCCTTCCTTGTATTCAGCTATCAATACTCCGGAACATTCTACAGCTGCATTTTTCACATCCAAAATCAAGTCCTCTCTCTTGTGCATAAGACCAATCCTCAGAGCCTCTTCCCATTCCCTTGCACTGACAAGAAAACCAATTCCTCCAGGGACATCACCACAGTACTCTAGAGCAATTATGGCAGCTTCTGCTGGCTTTCCAAGTGCTTGAAGTTCTTCACAGAGTTCATTAGCAAGTTGCAGAATCTCTTCCTTTCCCAATTTGAGCAAACCGGCCACTGTGAGCACCCCTTTCCAATGACCACAAGCACGATAAGCTTTCAGAGCTTTTCCTAATGAAGAACAACACAAATAAGTTGTAGCAGCATCCTCAAAGCATTTTTGATCATGGAGATGGTCTCCCCAAGCCTCAAGAATTTCAGTCCTCTTTGAAGGATCAATGAACAGTTGAAGACCCAATGGAAAAAGTTCCGGGTTATTTCTCATAAGGTTCATCGCATCTTCATAATAAGCATCTCCAGCTGATACAACATGCTTAAGAGCACTTTCATACCTGTGCAGTCTAATATCAACTGTATACTGCAAAATAGCAGGTGGCATACTCTCCAGTCCCTTCAGGAAAGGAAGAAACTCCTTTGGATCCCTTTGGGAGTTCAGTGCCACAATCGCTGCAAGGTTCAGATCATAAAGGCCTAAAGCAGATTCATAAACAGCATCAGAATCAGATAACCAGAGGAGATGCTTCAGAGCTTCTTCTGTTGAAGGATAAGAATGTCTCCTGTGGTCATCAACCCCTGACAGTTCCATTTCGCGAATCATTTTTATCCGCTTAAGGGATTCCTCAAGTGCTGGAGGTTCGCTACGGGCTAAGGTGGTTAATATACAAAGCTCCCTTGCAGGACTTTCTGATACCTGTTCCTCAAGAGCCTTGCGTATTGCCTGCAGCACAGAAGAGACCTTGCTCTTTGTATCAAAACCCTTCAAATTTCCTGTTTGTATACCTTCACTGACCTTCATGTAAGGAAGGGATATAATGTTCTTGTACAGTGTCTCCAGAACATTTTCATTCTTTATGGAACAGACAAAGTCAGTGATATAGCTCAAATTGTTAACTTGCCTGACAAATTCAGTAGCACATTGAAGAAAGGCTTGCCAACCAAAGCAGTCAACAAGGACATTGTAATCTATTCGGTGTCTTCTTACCATGAAAAGTGCATCTCTGAAGCGCCCTTGGACCAAAGCATTAACTATAGATGCCAAAACCAATTTTCTAGGATAGATGCATTCTAGGTTCCCCCGAGTTGTTTGTAAAATAACAGCAGCTTCATCTCCATTAAGTACACCAACTAATTTTGCACCCCTTTCCCATATGAATATGGAGTCTTTATTTTCTTCATTGTTTTTGTTACTAATCCGAATGAAACTTTGATATTTAACTTCCACATTGCCATATAAAATGTCATCAACATCAACAATAAATAGCAAGTCTTGCTTGGTTGTGAGAATCAAGTGTGTCATTATTTGATCAGCAGAGTTAGAGTAAAATGAAAAGCTACTGCAATTGTTACATAATATCCTCCCACCGGCATGTAACCTGCTATTATCATCAAGCCCGAAAGGCAAGGGCTTTAACATCCCTTTCTCAGAAATAGAGACAACACTCGTCCAAGGGCAGGATGATGAAAATCCAATATCACTATCTACTTTCTGGAAGTTCAACTCTGCATGTGCCCTTGAAATTCCCAAATTTGAAGTATATTCAATAAGTTTTCCTCCATCATACTGAATAAAGGCTGATCCTCTTTTGACAGGGTTAGTAGATACTCCAATCACAGGTCCTTCAAGACATAGTCGATTGGTAATCTTTGCATCCCAACCTGATGAGGTCACCAATCCGGGGATGTGATCCTCACGGCACACCAGCTCAATCTCCAACAAAGTATACCCATAGAAATCCACCCCCTGATGATGAGAAAACTTGTATTCTGTGGACGATGTCCCCAAACATTGATCAGTATTAGCAGAACCATTGTAAGAAATGCCAAGAAGAATATGTGAATCCAACCAAGCTAGATGCCTCAAGGACCCAAACTCCACTTCAGAACAGATATGTACAATGTTGAATTCTTTGCCCTCCAACTCTTCCCAAGTTTCAGTGGCAGGAAGCTCTACAATACACAAACTACCACTTGATAAGCACACAGCCAAAAGGCTTTTGGAGTTTTGGGGGAAAAAGGCCATATCTTGAACAGCAGCAGAGAATTTCAGGTTGAATAAATACAAGGGAGGTGGCATTAAAGATAAAGCAAGAGGTGATATTAGTATGTTGGAATTATCTATCACCAAAGCTGTTGAATTCTCCATCACAGCTGTTACCCAAACAAAGTTGTAGGTTGTGATCTTTCCACCAAGTGTCCAACAAATCAAGCGCAATGCCTTTGTCGGATCCCACATGAATTTCACTCCATCCTTCTTCGAGTATCTTATTTCGTGTTTCAAGTACCAATGGTTGTTACTGAAGGACCAAATCTTAATAGCATCATGCCTTTCACATCTGGCAATGGCTGCAAGAAGATCTGAGGTGCAATTCCACTTCAGGACTTCAATTATTGTATCCATTGGCTCATCAATGCTAAATGAGCTTCTTTCTAACCCATTCCTCTCAAAGAAAACAACCAGAGGGCACTTTTTTTCAGCTTTCCTGTCATATGCTGCAGCTATTTTGGCGCCACTTGGCATCCAATCCAAGGCTACTCCCATGAAAGGCTTTAATTCTGAAGCTGCATGCAGTGACCCTGAATTCCGTTCCCAAATTTTAAGTTTTCTATGCAAGGAAGAGTTGTGCTCTTTACTTGAAGTAGCAAGATATTTCCCATCACCTCGCCAAGAAAGGGTACTTTCAAATGTATAATCTCCAGTTGCTTCACCTGAAAATCATACTCCAGTAAAAAGATTGATCAGACCATTACATAAACAAAGAAGAAATACTTGTTAAAAGAATCCAATAAAAAAATACTTATTAAAATATCCAAGACAGGAAGAAGCCATCCCAAAGTTGTTTACATGTGTAACCAGACAAACATAAGTAACCAACCTGTAGGCTTTCCTGGACTGAATATTACATCAAATGGATTCCTTTTAAAGTTGTTTCCTGCATACAGCTTCCATGTTTCATAATGGCCAAGAACTGTCTTAATTTTGAACTTCTGTTATTAATTAAGACACCATTTAGGTGTTGGCTTTAGAAGACTAAGACACCCTCTTCAAGGCTAACTAGAGGCCCTACAATGAAAACTTTTCTATCATGTGTATTCAAACACTGACCAATTATGCTTGCCTACAAAAAAGCATCAACTAATACCAACATTTCAATATGCATTTGTGGCCGTCTGATTGCCCCAGTTGAATGCCATAAAATAACAGCACTGAAACAGTGAAACCATCATTCTAATGTGTTTGAGTATATATATCTTCATCTTTTAATGAAACATCTAGAGAGTGCTTTAATTAATGTGAAACATTAAAAAATGAGGCACCTCTTGAGGCAATGATGAGGAAACAGCCTTAAAGAGGCATTTAAAGCTAATTCTCCCCAAATATGATGATAATGTGATTTCATGTTGATAAGCCTTAGCCCAGGATATCTCACTGACTCCATAGGAGTCATAAAGACGTCAATCATTACTGCACAACGAGTGTGGCTTCTTCCTGCATGTAGCATTCTTAAAAGGGTAATATCTAGGAATCAGGAAAGAAGTCCTTACTTACGTCAAAATCTTCAGGAGGCTCCTCAAGCGTAGTTTCATATAGAAGCTCCCAATCGTGAGTCATAACTAGTAACCGCCCAAAGCCAGTAATAACAGCAAGAAGGGCTCCATCTGGACTAGGAGTAATACTCTTTACACCACCCTCCACTCTGCCAACAACTTCTGTTGTCTTCCCATCACCAGTGTGCAATAATAGATAACCATCAGTAGTTCCCACTATCAGTGCTTCCTTCTCCATGAGATAGTCTAAAGCGGTAGTGCAGTCCCCAGGTTCTAAATCCACAAGTTCATCTTCCAAGGCTATTGTGGTCTTCCTCCATTGTTTGCCCTGCCAATATAATGTAGCTAGTGTATTTATTAAAAAGTAAAACGAGTGCATTGAAAATAGATAAGCATCGGAAGCCACATCAGCAGGACAGGAATATTAACATTGCAACTTGTAAATGATCCTTATAAGATGGTTCTCCCTCCACTTCTTCCACTTTACATATTGTTACAATTTAACGAACTCACTGAACATGACGAAAAATGAATGGTTTCCATTGGAAACAGTATTTTATGGGGTATTACGCAATTTGACCTTGAAACATATACGCTTTCCAGAAAACGAGTATTAGTTATAGGAAAATGGCATTCCTTCTTATCTTTCCTGAGTCAACCATTCAGGTCTATATTCCAAGTCAAACCAAGCACCAGGTAGAATTAGGAAAATGATTCGCTTTCCATCTGAATACCAATGTACGAGTAAACTATATCAAATGCCGCCTCCATGGCTAATTTCTATAGGTTACAGTTTCACTTCAAACGTGCATTGGTTCTCTTTGTTTCGCCATGAAAGGGACGGAAAACTTTTCAGTGTGTAAAGTTTCAGTTGTATTTCTGGCCCTTTTATGGCCCAAACTTTGTTTTCCGCCTCCTCTACATGGAAAGAAACGCCGCCTCAAGCAAAAAGAATATTAATCTAACTGCAATAATGTTCCGTCTCTTGTGAAAATAAGTTGAAATAAAAGGGTAACTTACCTGAGATATAGGAATCTGAGTAGTGTATATAACGTTTGCTGATGAAGCAAAGAACAGGCGATTTCGTTCAATATCGAAAGCAGAGAACAACAGAACTTCTTCCGTCGACTGCAGTTGGAGATCGAATGTAAGCTCTGAATAAAGCTTCAGGTTCTTCATCCTGACCTCCTCTAGCGACAGAATAATATTATATAAACAGAGAAAACCCTAGAACTGGTAAATGGCAAAAAAAAATGGAAGTAGAAATGAACTACAAGCTCCAATGTGAGTATAAATAGAAGAGAAACATAGCGCTCGCGATCTAGGCTTCTGGAAATGGCAAGTACTAAGTACCCTCGCGTTCTCCGTCTCTCTTTCGCGCGCGGAAGACTCTGCAATCTCACGCACAGGCACAGCACAGAGGCAGGGGTTTTGAGAATAAGGGTTTATGTTTATGTCCACGATCAGCGCACGTGACCTGAAAGCAGCCCTTTATTGCTGTAAAACAGTTAACAATGTTTGACAAAACAAAAACAACGGCAATTATGCGCAGATCGTTGATTTGATTTGGTACACGTACATCACTTAGAAGTGTGAAATTAATCCACCATTGGTTTTGATTTTTATGTTGATTTGGGACATCATTTAGTTAGTGTAGATATGTGAAATTAGGGGTGCTTACGGTTCGTTAGCTGAATTCTTATTATCGATTTTTGGAAAATCGGTAATCAAAATTGAATCGAAGCCAACCGGTTAATCGGTTGACTGATCTGGTTAATCGTCGGTTTAATTTGTTGATTTTTTCGATTTTTTTTATAATATATTATAAAAATATATAATAAAAATTATAAATATATATAAAATATTATATTTTAAATAATAAATAATATATCATGTATTATAAATATATAATGTATATTTATTAATTTATAATATATAAAATATATAATATATATATAAGTATATGTATACTTAGTCAGTTTGGTTAATTGTCAGTTTTTTATGTTGATTAATCAAAATCGAAACTGACTAATTTAATTAACCGATTTTTCGATTCAGTTTTGGTCTTCTTTCCGATTGATTTAATTTTTAGTTTTTTTTTTTTTTTCTCTCACCCTTATTGGTACATGATTTGGATGGTGAAAATTAGTTGATTGATCTTATGATGCAACTTCGAAGGTCTACTACTAAAATTGTTTTAGAAATCTCAGTGTTTGAAGCTCCCGATACTATTGGGCCAGTAACAATTATTCCCCTAGACTTTCGACAAAAATTCCTGGACTTTTACTTTGTCACCAAAAATGGCATCATATTTGTGTCACATTTGAAATCTGTTTTTTAAGATTACGTCTAAATTTCGTTTTATATTTTTTTGAAATTGCACTTTTTCATACCAAACCTTGGAAACGAGAAATAACGGTCCTAAAAATATTTATTGAGAAAATGGTCCTAAAAACATCAAGGAATGGTGTGACACATTGTTGTTACACTTATGTGGCAGTTACAACAACCGTCCTAAAAATATTTATTGAAGAAGCCACATATCAATGCAACACCATTTTCTGAAAAAACACCTCTCAAGAAACAATATTGGTTTCAAACATTGCCAAATACCCCTTTGATTATTAAGATTGGATGACGGAAAAGCATTAAATTATCAAAATGCCCTTAGATTTCTTTATTTTCTCTTATTTGTCCTTTTTTCTTAAACTCTAACTAAGGGGATGTTTGGAACCATGGCCGTTTTTCAAAAAAACAGTGCCATGTCGGATCCACATAGGTGTTTCAACAAACGCCCATGTATCTCATTGTTTGGTTCAACTGATTATTAAAAAATTGGGCATGTCTCAAAAATCGGGCCCCTATAGATGCATGAAGCGCCAAATTGGTGACCCATTTCCCCCAATGGTTGATTGTTGTGTATCCTATGTGGTGCTTACCTGTCAGCACATAGATGAAAAACGTTGATGAAAATCACCTTACCAAACAACATAGTGTTGCTTGCTGCCTATGTGGCAGAAGCGTTTTTTTTTTTTTTGTGAAAAACGGGTCTAGGAAGCATGGGCTTTTTTTCTTAAAAATTGGTCCCAAAAAGCGCCTATGCTTCCAAACACCATATAACTCAAAAATACCTCCATTGTTGTGCCTTCATTGACAAAAAATACTTTTGTCAACTCACTCTCATTGGTTGTACCTTTAATGAGAAAAATCTCTCTTGCAATGATTGGCTAAAAGAGGGACTAGGTCACTAAAATAATGCAACCTTTGAACATTTTGCAATGATAAATTGATAATAGATGAATATCATCCAAATAAATAAGAAAAAGGTAGTTTGAAAACCTAAAAAAAAACTTTAAATAGTTGAATGAGAATCATTTTTGGAAGTTAACTAATGGAACCCTAATGAATGGAGTTTTTTGTCGCAAAGTGAAACTCCAAGAAGGTTTTTGTCCCAAATGAAAGTTTAAGGGGGCAAGTTTTACTAACCCCATAGTATAGGGGGTCTCCATAATTTACCCTTTAGCTATGTTTTGTTTGAAAGAAAAGATAGGGAAACCTTACTTTAACATATATATTTGAGTTTAACATATTTAGGGTGCATTTGGTTTGCAGATAGGACCGGAATCGGAATCCCCAGGAATCGAAATCGGAATCATTTATTCCTAGCACCCGTTTGGTTCAGTCAGGAATCGGAATCGGATTCTGATTGTTGCTGTTTGGTTCAACTAGAAGCTGGAATTAGAATCAGCCAAAGTTTTCAATTCTGCCCCTGTTAAAAGAACCTCAAAAACATCACTATATATTTTCAACATATACACACATTGGCAACCTGCTACTATGCATATATGGAGAAAATATGAAAAAAAAAAAGAAAAACACATAAACAAACAAAAATCACAAAAGAAAATCATTCTCCACCATAAAAATGTTCAACAATTTCTCACAAAACCCATCTACAAAAAGTTTACCCTTCAGAATTTGTAGAAAAATGGATGACCCTTCACCAAAACCCATCCATGCAGAGTTGCATAGAAAAAATAACATTGCATTGCTGCCACAATTCATGCGATACAGTAAGGTGGTATCAAAGGTGTTCATTTATCCTCTCTTCCAGCATAATGAAAGAACAAAAAAGAAAAAACTATATGCTTGTATCCATGCATACATATGATATATCTCATCACTGTTGTCCCCCTTAGGTTGAAAACCAAGAAAGCCATGAGCCATACAAGTTGAATGTGTAACCTATGGAACAAAATCAACTTGTATCAGTCCATACAAAATCTATGACCCAAAATACCTTGTTTTCACATCTATTTTTATATCAACAGTAGTTACAATATAGAGTTTAGCAACACTTTTGGAAGCATTAGGTAGAAAAGAATAGATAGTAGACTCATTAGAAATTCAAACTTCAAATAGTAGACTCCTTGACACAATCTAGGCTGCCATCAAAAGAATGAGAAAGGAATCCTGCAGAGTCCTTGATGTTAACATCAGGAATCTCATCTTGTTCAAGGGGTTTCTTGATCATAACTGCAAACAGTGGGTTAAGCTAAGAGAACATAATTAGTTGGAGAAGAATAGCACTTCCATATGGAGATTTCCTATTTCCTTCTGCATGCTTTTCAGTTGTCCCGTTGAGAAGTGCATTTGTGAAGTCATTTTCAAAGAAGTAGATTCTTGTGGTCCCTTTAATTGAAATTCCCACAGCCAAGGAAGTTGACATAATCTCCTATTCTGGGGGGACCTTTAATTGAACCACCAAACTTGCCATCCAGCCAACTTTCCAGGTTGATGAAGAGTCCATATTTTCTTTTTCTTTTTTTTTCTTCTTGGGGGGGGNGGGGGGGGGATAAACTATAGGTTAGCAACAAGTGTTTAGATATAACTGAAGTAAAAGGATACTAATAATTTTGTGGGTTGGGCCCAAAACCCATGGACCTCATGCATTTAAGCATTTTGCCCTGTACATAGGAAGTGACATTGGGCAGAATCATACATGAATCTGAATTCTTCTATGTCCACAGAGAAAACCTAGAATTTGACACTTGGGTACCTATGGGCATCTAAAGTCACATGGGACTTGAACCTGTTCCAAGCTGATATTTGGTCTGACTAATATCCATGGTTGGACTCATTCAATAATGGGTCCTATCCTTTTGAGTAGGGGATTGCAAATTTCATAATATTGGCCCTTCTAAAGGTCCTATGGTCCCTATCCTTGACCATTCTGGATATGGGTCCATACAGGGAAGTTCCATATAGTTCAATTCTAGGATATGGGTCAATATAGGGAAGTTCCCTCATGAATTGCTATACCAGGTCCTTCACCATTCTCTATAGTATGATCATTCAACTGCGGCCCAAGATGCCACAGATGACACAGAAATTTATGGGCTTAGGGAAAGTTTGCTTCATTCTGTTATGGTCATGGTTGTAATAAGAGATTCTCAAGAGGAATAGCATTCACAGAATTGAACATCCAGAATGCCAGCATGTTTACGTTTGCATATCAAAATGTTAAAAGTGTACGATGAGAAACACCTACCAGATATTATATATTTTTTAAGCTCTTCCAAAAACATACATGAATGGAGAAGGCAACAGAAAAGCAACAATCTATTTCTACCTTTACTTAAAAGAAAAAGGAGTAAAAACATAATATGAGAAACCAGTCCCTACAAATTACAATCACTGACTACAGAGTTTTTAATCATTAACACCAAACAAAAACTAATTTTTTATAAATTTCACATTATTAATGACTTAAAATTTATATTCTGAAATTTGTAGTTGTTTATATGAGCAAAACAAATCCATTTAAATATTGATTGCATTAATATGTTTAAATAATGAAAGAATACATTTTAGAGAAGAAAATTATATCAGCAAAACTAATTATTGATTGCAACAAAGGGTATTAATAGTACCAGTTAGGAGTTTCACCAAATACTCCAAAAGAATGTTAAGCTAAAATATGCCAAGATCAAAGTAGTGAAAAAATTATTTAAAAACTTGTGATGAATGACAGTAAAACAGGATCAATGTAAACAAAATCAGGCTACATCCAAATCCTTTACTAGGACAAGAATTGACTAATAGTAATACATGTGTATGAATGAAGTAACCTTGATTGTTAAACAGAATCAGTCCATACAGAGGAGATAAGTATGAGGTTACCGGCTGAAATTTCTGTTGTGTCTGTCCACTCATGGTTGAGTTCTATCATGATAGATAACATAAATTCATAATGCAAGATGTTGCATGGATTCTAGTGCAGGTATATTCCCAGGAGTCAGATCCATCATCCATCTGACCCCAAAATCTTGGAATACAAGGACTTAGCTAAATGCATATCCAAAAAGGGAAATATTAAGGATAAAACAAAGCAAACAAATCAGCTTGCAACATAATAACTAAATGCAAAAGCATAATGATGTATAGGAAATCTACTTTTTATGAGGTCTAAGAGGCATTTTTGCTTGGGCATTATAAAAGTGTAATGCATCAGTTAATAATTTATGTTTAATTTGTGTCCCATTAAGTAAAACAAAATCCAAATCCATCAAACTCTGGCAATGAAAACAAAAACCAAAAAAAAGGCACAAGTTTGGGGATTCATTACATATTCCACGTATCATGTCAGGTAAGTAAAGTGAGGAGTCAGGTTATCATAAGCACAACTAACCAAAGAGAAAGCAATAGTTCAAATGCTGCAAAATTATTTATGGACAAGTGAGGAGTCGGGTTATCATAAGCACAATTGACCAAGGAGAAAGCAATAGTTCAAATGCTGCAAAATTATTTATGTTGTCCATTTGGTGATCTAAGGTCTTGTTCTCCAGTGAACCATTACCATTAAACCATAAAAAATGCTGTGATGCCTTAAGGTGATTGATTCATGTTGTATATGATACCTACACTGTTTTTGGGTGGGTAACAGTGAAAAATATAACGTTCCTTACTAACTTTCAACACCCCATTGCAATTGGTCCCTATTCACCCCTTGTTTTGCCAAGCTAGACTAAAAGCCTCATTCAGGGGGGAAGCCTATTCCAGACAACTGTCCTACTCCTAGGTCTTCTAGTTAAGATTCCACCAAACTAGTAGTACACCATACAAAGCTTGCAAACTCAAAATTGGATCACGTTTACTTGAGATAATAAGGGGATAAAGGGCCCGGAAGAGAAAGGGGGAAAGAAATGCAGAAATGGATTTTGACAGAATAAATATCTTACCTCTACAAGCTGCTTATCAATCATCTCAACACCTTCCAGAAGTGTTTTCAGAAATGGTACAGCTCCAATAGTGTAGGCACATAGCCAAATATTTTGATAGAGAAATCCATAGTGCCGTTTGAAAGATCATTAGCCATGTAGAGGTGAAAAGAAGTCACCAACCTGAATAGCAATTTTTTTAGAGTTCTCTGCTTCACGTTTTATTTTATCCATTACATTTTCCATTTCTGCATAAGTACGGGGAACTTTATTTTGTATTTCTCAATCTCCTTGTGCTTCACCTTCAACTGTTCTTCCTTCTCGTCAACAAGTTTTACCAAATCATCAAAAGAGGGCTCCTTTTCATCATCTGAATAAAAAAATGCAGTGCGTTTAATTACTCTCCTCTTGACAGATTCAGAGGTAGAAGATTTATGTTCTGAACTAGAACCTGTTCCTTCCATTTTCTCTGGTGCTTTATCATCTTCACTTGTCTTTGTGGCCTCAGCATTTATAGGAGTGTCATTTGCATGTTCATCTCCAGACTGGTACAGCTCTCTGTTTGGCGATGGAAGATGGCTTGGAGTTCTACTCGGAACCTCTGTTCGACGACAATTCCTTGGGGAGGGGTCGGGAATGGCCATTCCCCAATACGAGGGATTCCCATTCCGATCAACCAAACACTTGGAATGGGAATGGGTCATTCCGATTCCGATTCCAGGTTCCTATTCCCTTGAATCAAATAAACCCTTATATTTGTATTCTTTCCAAATGGAGCCCCTATAACCTAGATTTTTTGGTTGATATTCTGGCAACATCATTTGGTCAACTAAACTTAGTTGCATTTTTTGTATCATTTGCATTGTTGGGGTTACTTAATTGATTTTGGAAGAGTGATTTAGGGTCCATTTGGTTCATAGTTTGAATTAGAATGGTCCATTCCCATAGTCTGTTTGATTTAGATAGAAATGGGAATGAAAATTAAAATCAATAAGAATGGAATTTCATTCCCAAGAGAGGGGCAGAGAATGATCATTCCCTTAAATGGGAGAATATCATTTCAGCTGGAATGGAAATGGGATTCCGATTCTGCCCAACCAAACAGTTGGAATCGGAATAACCCATTCCAATTCCGATTCCAAACCCCTAATCCTATAAACCAAATGGACCCTTAAATCGATACTGTAGTTGGATTGATTGTATTAGTTGGAGCATTGCTACGTTATGTTAGATATTCGCTTGTTTCTGGCTATACTTTTGTAGATAGTTATCTTTTATTTGGCTCTATCGTTGTTTGGTTTTTGTTGAGTTGATTTCTCTTAATATGCTTTACCCCTTTTTTAAGAAAGAATGATGGTAGATATTCTAGAAGGTAGAAGGTGATATGGCCAAAGTTGTCCATCCAATATTTTGTGAACACGTGCCACCTTTGGGCTGTTTCATTCATGGTTTTTAAAATCGAATCTGAGCAGTCGTTGGTCGGATTGGAAAAACCGGAAATTGGTTAGGTGACCAGTTTACCCAGGTGGTCGAACCGTTTGAATTGTCCAACAGTTTGGCCATTTTTTGTCAGAATGGACTATCTATTCCATTCAAATGATCTAACTGTTTGACCCAAAACCGGACCCTGACCGGTTCGATTTTAAAAACCATGGCCAAGAATCATAAAAAAGGTAGAAGGTGCCAAGTATGAAACCACAAATTGAGTGTGCAAACATCATGATGCGATAACAGAAGTCATGTGCTCATTTTTTCATAAGACAATTGCTTGGATTATATTGAAAAAAAAAAAGAAAACCAATTGAAGGACCGTTAAACCTCATAAGGAAAGAACCAGATATATATTTCAAATTTCCCTCCACAAAACACAGGGGAAGAAACATTAAACATAGGCTTGGCTACAAAATACCGAATTTTAATTAGAGGCTTTATAGAAAGAATTAAAGCAGCCAATAATTATACATATACATAGATATAACGGCAACTCCTCGCAATTTCCTTTCAAACAGGAGAGGCATTGGTGATGGTGGTAGATGTTCTCCCGACTGCATTGTTACCGTCAGCTATCTTGGAAACCGGGGCTTCATCCATGTGGGCTACGTCGTGCTGTTGGATCACAAGCACTGACGACACTACTCCGTGACCTGGTGAAGCCAAAATGTCGCCAATTGGTCCTAATTCGGCATGATCCGCCGTTCTCTCAGCCAGCTCTGCCACCATTTTTGATGGGAACCGTCCTCTCCCCACTACAATCAGCTCGAACTCTCCGCTCCGCCCTATTGCCAATACCCCCTCCACGATGTTGCTCGCTACTCTCTCTGTGTATTCTGCCAACCCATCCCACCTCCTTCGAAACTGAGCCACCGCGCTCTCATCCATTTCCTTTTCTCTTTCGCGGTCCATAACAGCAGTTGAGAAGCTATAGTTCTTCTCTGAACTTTTCTCCGGTGTCGGTCGTAACAGAACGCCGTTGCTCTCCGCTCCATTATTCTCAATAAATCGTAAAACCGTTACTTTAACCCCCGGATGCTCCGCCATCCTCCCTCCCAACTCCAGCGCCTCGCGATCATCAGGCCCACCAAAGAACACCACGCATACACCCTGCGCCACGGTGGCACTTGGCACCGGCGTCTGCTGAGCCTGGCCACCTAATCCACGGTCCACAAGCACCGCCACCGAACACGGTGCGTTTCTTAGCACCCTCTGATTGACCCCTCTCCAACCAGACCCCACGTTGTCCATCGCTGCGTCACCTCTCCCGTGTTTGTGGAAAGGCAGGATAATCATGCTCACCCCCTTGTCTTCTGCCACATGACAAACGTCCTCGTGCATGGTGGGCATGGCAGAGATGGCCGTCATGGGACGGACCTTGACTCGTCCGAGTTGTCCGTACGCCTCAAACGCGACGGCGACTCGGTCGTGGAACTCGCCGCCCCTGTTGCGGAGATGGTGGCCACCGCCGAAGGGAAGGCCATTCATGCGGGCGCGTCGAGCCAAGACGATGGAGGAGGAGCGTTCGGTGAGCTCCACAAGATGCATGATGTAGAGCTTGAGAGGGGATTTCTTGGGACCCCGAGTGGACTCGATGAGATTGATGAGGGAGGGGACGTTGGCCGGTCCGTGGACGCAAGCGAGGATTCGGAGCTCGTCGCCTCCTTTGGTGGCACTGGCACCGGACGGAGAGTAATCACGTTGTAGCTTTCGCGGTATGCGAAGGGAGCTTCGACGCGCTGGCTTGTAGATGGCCATTACAATTGGAGTGGTAATGAAGGTGGTCAAGAGTGCCATCAGCACTAAGATGGCAAATGTCTCCTCGTTCAGCACCTGCTCGATCAGATCAATCGTTTCACGAAACCTTGGTCAGACTCTAGTTATTTAACGTCTGATTCCGACAAATATAATGACCATTATTAGTGCATTACTATCAAACCATTATCCTACACTTTGGGCCTAGTGCCACTTTGATTCCCAAACATTAAAATGCTTATCTACCGTTAATTAGTTATTAATTGATTGATAAAATGTCATCTAATTTTCTTTATTAATCATTTAAATATTAATAAAAAATTAATGATCTAAAATCCTTATTTCTTCAATTGTTATATTTTAAAAATTTAAATATTGAATTATGACATTTTAAAATTGAGGGACCAAAGTAACACTAAGTCCAAAATATAAAGTAATAATCAGGAATTTTCAACTCCTAATATTCAATAGTCAGTTTGGAATTTGGGTAACCCTTCCAAATAAGGAAGTTTTGGTAAGTTCACGGCAGATATTAAAGCCACATCACCCCATATCATCATAAAAAAAAAGATTAAAAATTGAAAACATGGGACAAGTGGCATTGTTTCCGTGATACCATGACGTAGATCTAAAGTGGAAATTAGGGGAAAATGACAATAATCCAAAAGTCAGATTATGATGATAACGTAGGAAAAGTTTACAAAGAAGACCAATCATATAAAGTCTTTGTTCGAGGCCCACATCTTTATCTATAGAACTGCAAGCAAATCCCTTAAACCCCCTATCAGATGTAATGCGAAGAAAAACATAAATAGATGTTCATAAAGAGTCAAATTATGATGTTTGCGATGGAAACGGGCCCGGCCCGGTTATTTATTTTTCTTGGAAACTTACAACTGAGACTAATCCAAAAAAATTTGTCCGACAACTCCAAAGATTTGATTTTCTATTCTTTTTTTGGGGGGGGGGAGGTGATTCACTAATTTGGGCACACAAAGTATCCATATGAGATGTAAGATGTTGACCTTTTTCATGTGCTCGACTTTGTTTGTGGTGTAAATGAGACTTGACATAAAACTTCATCACCAGTTTGTATTTGTCTGTGACTCTGTCTTTATTTTAGGTGTAAATACGGATTAGAGTAAAACTATACTTCTGGTCTATATTTTCAGTGTTAAATTTACAACAAAAATGATATAAACCTCTCCATCATTTGAGTTTTACATGAATTATCACACTTTAAAAAGGTCCCGATAATTTTAAATCCGTCGGTGTTGAACTCCATTAATGTACTTTTATATAAATAATAAAGTTTATACCAAAAACAAACACAGATGCAGCCTTAAGGTTTTGTTTGTCTAGAAAGGGATAGGACTGAGTAAACAAAAAAAAAAAAAAAAGTGCCCGAATCACTCCCATGAGATGAAACACAGACAGACAGGTCACAGGTTACCTTGTTCTGGCCTTTCCAACCTCGATTATGAGACGAAACACAGACAGACAGGTCACAGGTGACCCACACCATGCATCAACAAACCATGTTAAACGTTAAATTTAAATTAGCAGAAAATTAAACCAAGCAAAAGTGCTGATGCATGAGATGGGGCCTGGTACTCACCTTCTTTTCCTTGCCTATGTTGAGAACGATGAGCTCCACCAAGCCTTTCGTATTCATCAATACTCCAAGCGTCAACGACTCCCTCGCCGGCATCTTGTTCAACATCGCCACCAAGAACGTCCCGAGGATCTTCCCTGCACAAGCCGTGCTAATTACTAGCGCCAACAGCCCCCACGACTGTGCCCCGCGTATTGTAGCAACATCCGTCTTCAATCCACTCGATGCGAAGTACAGGGGCAAGAGCAGACCCGACACAAAATCTTCTATCCTCTCTATTAGTCTCTCAGCAAACTCCCCTTCCTTCGGTATCATCAATCCGAAAACAAACGCCCCGAATATCGAATGTATCCCGATAAGGTCTGTCATAAACCCGGACACCATTACCCCTGCTAAAGTTAAGCAAATATACGCCTCGTCCACTGCCTCATGCTCCGGAGAACACCGCCGTGCCACCCATCTCATCGCCGGCCGAATCACAACCACCATAAATACAACAAACGCCACACCAGACAGAAGCACCCACACGGACACCAATGGACTCTTGTGTTCCCCGCCGGTACCATTACCCGCAAGAGCCACTGCTAGAGCCAACAACACCCACGCCGCAACATCGTTAAACGCTGCTGCGGCCATGGCGGTCTCGCCCACTTGGGTTGTTAGCAGTTTAAGCTCGGCAAGGATACGAGCGAGGACGGGGAAGGCCGTTATGGAAAGAGCTACTCCCATGAAGACGAAGAATTGGCTGTATCCGACTTCATCAGCTCCATCGATTGTTTTTCGAAGTACAAAGGCAACACCGATACCAGAGACGAAAGGGAGTGATATTCCGGCTGCAGCGATGCCTAGAGCTCTTCGTCCACTCCGGCGTATGGAGTTTAAATCAAGCTCAAGGCCCACGAGAAATAGAAAGAACAGAAGTCCGATACTTGCTACAGATTCGAGTATCGGAGTGCTCCATGACGGAAAGATTCGGTGCAAGTAGGTTTTGTTTCGGCCGAGAACTGATGGCCCCAAAATAATCCCACCCTGCAACACGCATACCGCATACTCAAAACACAATAAATATCAAAAAGAAAAATGGAGAAAACAGAAAAGTGAGGAGACGATGCACGTACGACTATTTCGGCGATGACTTTGGGTTGTCGGAGAGGCTTGAGGAGAAAGGCGAGACAGCGGCTGATAACGATGACTAAGGTTGTCTGAACTATCAAGAGAGGGAAGGCGTAGTTTAAGGGATTTTCGCCTTGCCATGCACCGTCCGACGATGTTTTAATTGCGGTAATGTTGACCGCCATTGTTACTACTGAATCGTGCCTCCTGGACAGCGCCTTTCTCTGTCTATCGTCGTCTTGAGAAAGGGATTATTTTGTCTTAGCAGATAATTGTTTCATCATAGAAAGAAAATAAGGTTTTTATAGAAGAAGACGAAGGTAATGGTTGTGGCGGTGACGACTGCCGCCTGCCGTGGTGGTGGTAGCTAATAGGGGTTATTTATTAAAATTGGGTGGGTTTTGATTGGTCAAAATTCATGAAAGTTGCATCTTATTTGTATTGACGATAATGTGTACTGGTTTCGAGTTATAATTACTTAAATGTCGTGAAACCTGCGAACCACTTTCGAAAGTGAATGGTGTTAAACGTGATAGAAAGTTCAAAATATTTTATATTTATTTTGTTTTTTTATATAATAGGTAAAAAGTAAATTTAGTTAGGTCATTTTCTAATTTTTGTAAAATCTAGGTTAATTGAAAAGTGTTCTTGAAGAAGCTTTTTATTTCCTTCGCTCAAGAAGTCATTTTTGTATGACTCTAACCAGGAGAAACCAGAATACGTATGAAGTGATTTCAATCCTTCTCTTGCTCTCTATTTTTACTTCAATCTGTAGCATGAAAACTCTCTGTTTTCTTCACTTTGCATGCACCCATAGTTAGATGAAACTACAGTCAAATTTCAACAAGTGGTATCAGAGTTGCTAGGTTTGTTGGAACAAGTTTTGGTGCAAGAAAAGTTGAAGAAAAATTGATTGTGAAGAGAAAACCATGGCCAACACTAATGCTGTTAATTTTAGCACAGTTCAGGTTCCTATTTTTTATGGAGAAGACTTTCTGGTATGTTAAAATGAAAACCTTATTCTTCTCTTTGGATTTATGGGACATTGTTGTCCTTGGATATGAAGAACCAAAAAGTGTAGCAAATCTTACAACAACACAACAAAAGGAACTGAAGGACAAGAGAAATAAGAATGCATGAGCACTTTCAATGATACAGAGAGGAGTTAGTAAATATATTTTTTCAAGGATAATGAGTGCTGAAAAGCCAAAAGAAGCCTGAGAAACACTTCAACAAAAGTTTCAAGGAGACAAAAAGGTAAAGGCTATTAAACTTCAATCTCTTAGAAGAGATTTCGAAAATATGAAAGTGAAGGAAAATGAAAGTTTAAATGATTATTTTAGTAGATTTATAGAATTGATAAATCAGATGAAAGCACATGGTGAAAATTTTGATGATAGGAGGATTGTTGAGAAAATTTTAATTAGCTTACCTGAAAATTTTGATCCTATTATGATTGTCATTGAAGAAACAAAGGATCTCACTGAATTAATTGTTTAAGAGTTAATGGCATCACTAAAATCATATGAGCAAAGATTGGCACGACACTCTGAAAAATCAATAGAGAGTGCATTCCAATCCAAGCTTAATGTGAGTTCCAAAAGCCATGATGGAACATCCTCAACTCATGAGCATTGAAAAAGAAACTCCTATAGAGAAGGTAGATATGCAAGAGGAAGAGGAAGAGGTAGAAACCAAAGAGGAATAGGCAAAAGTAATTTTGACAGAAAGTCTAGTAATTAAGTTAAGGGTCATCACAACGGTGTTCTATTTGTAAAAGAAGTAGACATGTTGATAAGGATTGTTGGTTTAAAGGAAAGCCACAATGTCATTTTTGTAAGAAGTTTGGGCATTTACAAAAAGATTGTAGATTGAAAAAAATCAACAAACAAATTTTACAGAAGAAAAAGAAGATGAAGGAAATTTGTTTTATGCATGTCAAAGTGCCACGGAGGAAAACAATGATGTGTGGTTCTTGGACAGCGGGTGTTGCAATCATACAGGGCACCCAAATATTTTTCTTGACATGGACACATCATTTAGCTCAAAAGTGAAGTTGGGAAATTGAAAAATTGTTGAAGTAAAAGGTAAGTGCACAATTGGTGTTGAAACAAAGAATGAAAGAAAATTTATACATGATGTGTTATTTGTACCTGAGTTGAATGAGAATCTTCTTAGTGTTGGACAGTTTTTAGAGCATGGTTATTCACTCCATTTTGAAGATCTTGATTGTACCATTTATGACAATGAGAAACATGTGGTGAAAAATGTGAAATTGAAGACAAATAGAAACTTCCGTTAGTGTTTAACTATACAAAAAAATGTTGCTATGAATGCCAAGGAGATTGATGAATATTCACTATGGCATAGAAGATTTGGCCACCTAAATTTCAAGGGGCTGAAATTGTTATCACAAAAGGAGATGGTTCAAGGGCCTCCAAACATTGAAGAAAAACATGAAGTTTGTGAATGTTGTGCACTTGGAAAGCATCATCGACAACCATTTCCAAAAGGAGTTGCATGGAAAGCCAACAAATTGCTGGAATTAGTTCATACCGATGTGTGTGGACCCATGATGACACCCTCTCATTCCCAAAATAGGTATTTCATTCTTTTTATTGATGATTTTATTCGTATGACTTGGGTTTATTTTATGAGAGAAAAATCTAATGTGTTTGCTATTTTCAAGAAATTTAAATGTCTTGTTGAGAAACAAAGTGGTTGTTATATTAAAAAATTAAGAAATGATCGTGGCAAGGAGTATACTTTAAAAGAATTTGATAAATTTTGTGAAGATGAAGGCATGGAAAGGCAACTTACAGTCTGTTATACGCCTCAACAAAATGGAGTATCGGAAAAGATGAACCAAACTGTGATGGAGATGGAAAAATCCATGCTACATGAGAAGAAATTTCCTAAAAGTTTTTGGGCTGAAGCTGTAAACACAGTTGTATTTGATGAATTGATGCCCCACTGTTGCTATTAAAGGAATGACTCCATTGGAAGTTTGGAGTGGAAGGAAACCATCGGTTAGACACTTAAAAGTGTTTGGTAGTGTGTGCTATGCCTAAGTTCCAAAAGAGAAGAAATCAAAGCTTTATGAAACAAGTGAGAAGTGTATTTTTGTTAGCTATAGCTCTATGTCAGGGTTATAGTTGTACAGTTTGAAAACAAATAAGATGGTTATTAGTAGAGATGTTTTGTTTGATGAGAAAGCTGTTTGGAATTGGGAGCAAGAAAAAATTGAAGAAGAGTATGTTCTCAATCACGTCCAAGTTCAAGCTCATCTTCATCTAGCTCAACTTCAAGAAAAATGAGGAGCTTGAGTGATGTTTATGCAAGGTGCAATTTCTGTGTTATGGAACTGGAAAGCTTTGAAGAAGTTTGGAAAAATGCAATGGAAGAGGAAGTTGCCATCATAGAAAAGAATAAAATTTGGGAGTTGGTTGATAAACCCAACAACAAAGAAGTGATTGGTGTTAAATGGGATTACAAAGTGAAGTACAAAGAAACAAAGCAAGGCTGGTTGCTAATGACTATGCACAACATCCCGGTGTTGATTATTTTGAAACATTTGCTTTGTTAGCATGGTTGGATACTGTTAGAGTTCTCATTGCACTCGCTGCCCACAAAGGTTGATTGTTATGGCAACTTGATGTTAAATAAGCTTTCTTGAATGGAGAATTGAAAGAAGAGGTGTATGTAGAACAACTACAAGGCTTTGTGATTCAAGGCAAATAAGAAAACGTGTACAAGTTAAAGAAGGCTTTATATGGTTTAAAACAAGCACCAAGAGCATGGTATAGCCAAATTGATTCATACTTTGCTAAGAAAGGGTTCATGAAAAGCAAGAGTGAGCCTACTTTGTATGTGAAGAAATAAGGTATGGATGATGTTTTCATTGTTGCTCTTTATGTTGATGACTTGGTTTTTACCGAAAACAATATGAAAATGATTGAAGATTTCAAAAATGAAATGGTGAAAAAATATGAAATGAGCGACATGGGACTGTTACATCACTTTCTTGGTATTGAAATTTATCAAGGTAATGATGGAGTATTCATTTGTCAAAGCAAGTATGCTGAAAAAGTTCTCAAAAAATTTAGAATGCTCGGATGCAAACTTGTAGCTACTCTACTGGTTGTTAATGAGGAAATTAATGAAAGAAGATGGTGGTAAGAAGGTGAATGAAACATTGTATAGAAGCTTGGTTGGAAACTTGTTTTATATTACTGCTACAAGGCCGGATATCATGTTTGCTCCAAGTTTACTATCTAGATTTATGAACAGAGCCCCGGTCACATTCACTTTGGGGCTGAAAAAAGAGTGCTAAGGTATGTGTAAGGCACTATGGATTATTGACTCAAATATGACAGAGGAAATGAAGTAAAACTGATTGCTTTTTGCGACATTGATTGGGGAGGATGTGCTGATGACATAAAGAGCACATATGGTTATTGTTTTTCCTTTGGTAGTGGTATATTTTCTTGGTGCTCAAAGAAGCAAAAATCAATAGCTCAATCTTCAGCAGAAGTAGAGTAGGTTTTAGCATCAATGGCAACATCTCAAACAATTTGGCTTAGGAGAATTATGGAAGATGTTAATGAGAAGCAAGAGGATGTAACAGTGTTTCATTGTGACAACAAATCTGCTATTGCTATGTCAAAAAACCCATGTTATCATAGCAGAACCAAGCACATTGCTCTTAAACATCACTTCATTCAAGATGCTATTGAAGATGGAGAAATTGAACTAGTATATTGCCGGACCCAAGAGCAATTGGCTGATATTTTCACCAAGTCATTGGCAAGAAAGAAGTTTGAAGAATTAAGAGAAGCATTAGGAGTCCAACAACAACACAGTAAGGGGGAGAATGTTACAACTAATGTGCTAGGAAGTTAAAATATTTTATATATTTATTTTGTCTTTTCATGTAGTAGGTAAAAAGTAACTTTAGTTGGGCCATTTTCTACTTTTTGTAAAATCTGGGTTAGTTGAAAAGTGTACTTGAAGAAGCTTCTTATTTGGCTTGCTCAAGAAGCCATTCTTGTATGACTCTAACCAAGGAGCAGACCTGTTCATGGGTCGGGCCGGGCTGGGCTTTTACTCTTCATAAACAGGATTTTGTTAGGCTCGAGCCCAAGCTCGGCCCAACCAATGGGCCTACAACATGGGCTCGAGCTTGGCCCTAATAAAAAGCCCGAAGCCCGACCTAATAGAAGAAAGGACTCACCGCCGGTGACTGTGTTCATTGGTGCTGAGTTCGTGTCTGAGAGAGAGAGAGAGAGAGAGGACTCACTGCCACTGACAGTGCCTGTGTTCATTGCCTCGCTGGTG